AAAGTTTCAGCCATAATTTCCTTGAATATGTTTTCTAATCTCTTCCTTTTTCTTTTCCTTTGGATATAGCAACTATGCAGATTATTTTGCTGAAGGAGTCCCATACTTGCTGTATTTCTGATTTTTTTCTTATTCTTTTTTCTTTTCACTCCTCTGATTTGATAATTTCATGTTTCATTTTTGAGCTCACTGATTCTTTCATCAGTTTAAGTCTGCTGTTGGAGTTTTCTATCAAGTTTTCAGTTCAGATAATGTATTCTTTATTTCTATAATTTCTATTTGGTTTTCTTTAATTGATTTAATTCCTTTGTCAAGTTCCTCATTCTGCTCCTGAATTGTTTTCCAGATATTAATTTTCTACTTTTATTTTCTTGTGACTTCCTGAACAGCCTTAAGAGTTATTCTGAATTCTCTCAGACATTTCATAAATCCACTGTACCTCTAGGTTAATTGCTGGTGCTTGGTTTGTTTCCTTTAATGGCATCATATTTTTTTGTTCTATCTCAATCTTTGTGTCTTTACATTGATGTCTGAGCATTTGAGGAGACTGCTCCCTCTTCTAGGTTTTATAGGTGTTCTTTGGTGGTGTTATACCTTTACTGGTTAATATCAGAGCAGTGTCTCTGATCTGTGGGGTATTTATTTTTTTTAATTTTTTAATTTTTTTCAGTTCTGTGTTAGATTATCAGCCAGTAAAACCACTTAAACTCTGCACTGGAACTTATTTGTTGTCCTTTGGTTAATTCCAAAATTGGGGGAACTTCCTGTGGGACCAAGACTTGGGCCTTATGGTTGAGCTAAATTGCTGCTTTGCTAATTCTCTGAGGAAGGCCTTTTAATCAATTCTCGGTCTTGTGTAGCTCAGATTGTAATTGTTGGCCTTTTAATCAATTCTCGGTCTTGTGAGGTAAGATACACCTGGGTTGTGTGGTAATTATGACCCAGGACTGAGTCTGTCTGGTTCACTGTGCCCCCTGAAGTTCTATCTCCCTGACCAGTCTCCACAGAGTGAGCCTGTGCTGATCATAAGGCAGATCAGCTGCCCATGATGTGCCTCAATGCTCCCCCAGTAGGCCAGCCTCCCCCAACACTCCAAATGCTTTCAGTGGGGTAGGCTGTGCACCAGTCCCTCATGATGACTCACCAATGTCTCGGTGGCTGCTTTCTTTGGTCAGCTGCAGCCCTTGCTATGTGGGCCCACAGGAACCCTGTCAGTGATCTTGCTGGACTGGGAGCTGGTATGGTGCAATTCAAGGACCTCTTCTCCCATGCAGACTCCAAGCGACTTCATGCAAAGTGCATAGGTGTGGTTGTTTTCAGCTTCTGCTGCATGTGCTACTTTCTGCTCCTCACTGGGGCCAGCCCTGAATTGGCTAGGTCTCAAAACAGTCAAAGTGGTCCCTTCTTTCTCTCTCCATGGCTTCTCTCACCTTCATGAACTTTGCAGATCTCTCTTACTCTTCATCCAAGCTCCAGTAGTCCCAGGTCAGCAGTCTTTGCTTTTTAATATTTGCAAATCTATCAGTTGTAGGAGTGATGCTGGGGACCATCTATTTTGCCATCTTGATGACACTTCTCAAAGTATTTTTCAACTATGTCGAAATTATCTTATTTTAGCAACTTGGGAGACAACAGGAAGGGTAGTGATTAAGACAAAAAATTGAGAACGAAGTTCCAGTTTCCTATACACCATGTTAGATAATTTAAGGTGAATGAATGAACTCTGAACAGATGAAATGTGTGTATCATATAAACTTTATATATATATGTTATAAAGTTCTAAGTGGTCATAGCATTTAAAATATTTTAGGTCTCTTATGTAAGACAAATAATAGCTAATTCAATAAGGTGTAAAATTAACTGTTTTTTCCTGCTTTAACATTCAAATAACTTAATGTGAGAAAACTACTTATTAATTCTTTCCAAAACTAAGTAAATGCTTTATCAAGGCAAATTAACTCTTTTCATAATTCATCAGAACTCTCAGTAACTTGCAGAAACTTTTGACTCACAGGATTTGGCTCTTGAGGATATTAGAGAATATAACATACTTTGTTGTGCCAGTTTTTTATAATCCTACATGAAATTGGCAAGTCACTGAACTTCTTTGTTCATTTTCCTATCTCTCTACCATATCCATTTATAATATTTATCACTTTCTATGTGCCAGACACAAAACCCCAATGAAATAGGTACAATGATTTCCATTTTGTATATAAGAACTCTCTAAATTCTATAACTGCTGTTCAAAAAAAGAAAGGATTAAATAGCACTAAATCTTTAATTTTAACATTATCTGGTAAAGAAAAGGTCTTACATTGCTACCATCCAGCAGTTTAGTAACTGAACAAAAAAGGAACTATGGGATTGTATTATGTGATGGATAAGACAGCAGAGCAACTGAGGTTAAGAGCATAGACTGGATTTGAATCTTGACTCTGCCACTTATTAGCTGTGCAATACTGGGAAAATCATCTAACACTTCTTTGCCTTAATTTCTCTATCTGAAAATTGGGACTATACTACCAACTCATGTTTGCTAGGAGAACTAAACTAAATTGGTTAGTACTAGTAAAACACTTAAGAGCAGTACTTGGTACATAGTAAGAACTCTATTATGTAATGCTGTGTAAAAATTAATGCAAGATTCAGTACTTTAAAACAACAAAAGTGAATGATGTTTCCTTGGGTCAGGAATCTGAAAGTCACTTAGGTGGTGGATGGTAACATTCAGGTTGTCAACCGTGGCTGCACCACCTACAGCCTTGACTAGGGCAGGATGATTCATTTCAAGAAGGCTCTCTCACATAGCCAGAAATGGATGCTGGCTGTGAAGAGGGTGCCTACTCACCTACATGTGGCCTCACATCTTCTAGGAGCTCTCTTCTTTACTTGTATTCACCATCAGGTATTCTGGTCTTCTTTACATGGCAGCTGGACTCCAAGAGTCAGGGAGCCAGCAAGCAAGGGGGTGCACCAAGACAGAAGCCACATCTTTTTTTATAACCCAATTTTGAAGTGACATCATAGCACTTCTGCTATCTTCTGTTCATTAGCAGTGAACACAATTAAATTGTGCCCAAATTCAAGGGAAGAGAATTACACAAGGTGAATAACCAAGAGGTGGGGATCATTAGGAGCCACATTAGAGACTGCCTACCTCAATGAGGCACTGTAAATTTAAATAAAATAAATGTGGAACCATAACTATATTTCTTCATATATTTGAGTCCCAGCAAGGGGTCAAGTCTACCATTTTTAAGGGCTCATCTTAAAAGACTACACTAATCAATGAATTTTTTTAAAAACCAAAACAATTATATTTGTTGTCCAAAGTATAATACAAACTATTAGAAAATTATAAAGTATTAACCACCAACCAATGGATTACATTACTCTTTTATGCATGATTACTTATCAACTATCTAGACTAGTTTAACTTAGCTTAGCTCTTGGCTCCATTACAGTCAGAAGCCAATAACTGATATTCTGAGTTCTGAAAGTACTGTTCATATAATGCAAGAACTCTTTCTTATAAATTGGGGAAATAAACAGAAAGTGTATAAGCAATCCCAGAAACAGGATGCAGGGAAATGTACGTTTCTGGAACTAGGCAATAGCTACTAAGGTCGACTGCCATAAACATCAGATTAGCTCTCTTCACTTCATATTCCTCAAAAATGTACTCCAGCCAAGTCCTGAATGGAAAATAAAGTACACAGTTTAAAAACAAACTGCAAAATGGTATTTATTTACATTAAAACATGAATTACCTGTATACACACAAATATAAGAGGCATAATCTGTTATGCACAGTAACTGTAATATTCAGTACTTTACATACAGTAGTATTTGTCAGTGGTTTGAGTGAAAACACAGTACCAAAACATTCCTAACACAAAATAAGTTACTCATTCACATATTCTAATCATATACAACACTAAATATTTTAAAAGGTATGTACTTCAAAAAACACTAGCTAGATGTACAACTAAAGTGTATTAAGTTTATGAAAAATGACTTCAGATTGTTATTCATAAATGATCCCTTTCAGGAGGCTTTCTTATCTTTCAAATAAATAAACTACATTGATATCATATAGTCCCCCGAAATAGGACTAAAGACAGACATTCTTCCTTCATTTCTTTTAAAGGTGTAACTATACTAGAGAATATGCTAAACTACTGCCCCCTAATTCCAACACTGTCAATCTATTTTTTTAGACACAAATTATTTAAATTCCAATTTTAGTATTAGATTAGCTACAATTTTGCAAATTGTTCCCTTTAAAAAGCATTAACAGATTGTCTTGAACCATATCAAACATTTGAGAAATCCAAGCTTTTTAAAAATATTAAAATGCTTTAGGTTAAAGCTGATATACTATATGTGGAGATTTTGAGATAAATTGAACTTTTCTCTTAAAGACCTTCACAAAAAGACATTATTCAATTCTAAAATTTACTAACAATTTATATAAAGGCCAAGAGAATACTTGAATATTTTCATAATGCAGTGAAGGACTCATCTTTGGCATTTCTCCACTAGTTCTAAAATAAAACATATCAATAAACATTTTATATTTTTCTATCTACCTACAACAGACATTTTCTATACACAAAAGGATTTGATTAAAATTTCTTTTAACAGCAATTTCATTGCTAAAAAACTTTTCTTTTGGATCTGCAAAAAATATTAACAACATACAGCTTTTTACTATGAGAAGCTGAAATGTTTCGATGTGTTGAAATAAATTTGCTTAGTCCTCTTTTCCAGTGATTAGAAATTCAACATACTTTCAAATTCAACAATGAATAAAGCAGACATACTCATATTTTACACTAACAAAAACGTTGACTAGGGCTTAATTTTTCAATATTAAAATGAAGCATGCCTCTATTAGGGGAGAAGAAACCCCACATATATTTACATATTCAAATAATATGGGCATCACAGAAATCAAACTGTTCTTTCTTGGTCTCTATGACTTTTCTTAAAGGAAACACACAACTGCTACAAATGCCGATTTGTGGAAATTTTTTCACAATGCTTTCCACACTAGATTTACAAATTACTTCCAGTATTCACCAATTTTTGCTCTCAACACATACTAAACTTATGACTGAAAACAGTCTAAGTGTGTTTAAAAATCATAAGAGGAAACAACTGGGCTTTCACAATTGAGTACATTTTCCTTATTTGAAACTAAATATGGAGAAACATCTCAGTAAAACTGAATCAGATACCATTTGACAGCTCAAATGCAATCTATGTTCCCCAGGGCTTACTGAAAATATAAACAAAGTAACAAACAAGTAAAACATATAAAGTAGAAAATTAATACTCTTTACCAATGTCTGTAAAGGCCTGGGATACCAAAAATGAGATGGTAATGATGAGTTTATTTTGACATTAACACATTTAAAAATGCAATTAATTAATAATTAATTAATTAATTCCCTATTGTTTTCTAAGTAGGCAGAATCGTGGAAATCCAAGCAGAAAGTGATGCATAGGAAATAAAGAACTGAATATAAACTGGGTATTTCTGTCTGGCATTGAAACATTTCAATAAACCTGTAGTGATTCTAGAAAGAAAATAAGTTGACCTACTAATACATAAAAAAAATCTGAAGAATGCAGATTATGAGAATGACACGTAACAGGATGTTGAAACTGTGAAAGAAAATTTATTATGGCAGTTACTGAATATTATGTATTGCAGCTTATATTAATAATACTGCTATCTCCCAGCCCATGTAAATACCTGACACCAACACTGTCCTTCAAGTATAGTCCAAATTAAGTTACATGTGAAAACCAAGTAAAGAAATTATCAGCTTCTCCTAATACAGTATAGTAAGAACTGGGAATGTTATAATTGGCACTATTTAATGATTACAGAATATAATGTCAAGTGCATATGATCCTCTACTTCCAGAATCCACAAAATATAGTCACCCATGCTCCTAAGAGAATTTTACCTCAATTTTATCATTTTAGAATTTGTTGGAATTGAATCTCTCCAAAATTAAATAGGATCAATCTGGTCACATCCAATCCTAAAACAAAATGCTATGTAAAATTTTCCTGTATCTAAATGTTGCCTTCTAGATAAATCTGTGGGATATTTTAGATAGAGACTTTCTTTTTGGACGAGGTGGTCTGATAAAGGGCAGAAGACCATCAGACAAGATCACAAATAATAAACACTCCTCCAAAATTCAGTTGAAGTTGGTTTTTTGTAAATGTTTACTGGGAATTTCTAAAGCACTAACTTGGAGAGGCCAAGAGCCTCCATCAATCCCTGCTTGGATAGCCACTCCTGTCACCACTGCTAGGTCAGGGTCCACAGATGTGTTGGGATCCTTTCCAAAGAACTCCTGAATGACTTGGCGGATTCGAGGAATACGAGTAGAGCCCCCAACTAAAACCACCTCATCAATCTCGGTCTTTTCTAGGTGGCCTTCTGTTAATACTTGCTGAATGGGTACAAGTATTTTCTGGAAGAGATCTTCATTAAGGGTGTCAAAGAGTTTTCGTGATATTTCTGTCTCAAATAAAACTTGCTGTTCTCCACTTTTCTTTTCAGAAAGGCCAGGTCCAAACACACCATTCACATTGTGGCCATCTGCTGGGGAAAGTCTGTCCTTTGGCAGTTCATTGTCACCACTCTGAGGTTGCTTCCTGTCCTTTTCCTCTATCGTTAGTAATACTGACAGCTGAGCAGAGTGATGAAGAGTCAGATTTAATTTGACCATTTCCACAGCTTGTCTTAATCTGTGGATTTCCTCTTTCCTAGAGGGGAGAAAGCCATATGTTTGATAGATCTGTTTATATAAGTACTGAAGCAATCTCTGATTGAAGTCCTGTCCTCCAAGTTTATTGTTTCCTAAATGAAAAAATAAAAAGTTTGTGTTATTGTTTATGTATCCATATGTGTGTGTGTGTGTGTATACACGTGTGTCTGTGTATTATATGTATAACATTATGTCCTGGGAATAACAAATCCCTTGTTGAAAGTATTATTAAAATTTTATTCATACAAAGGCTAATTAAAAATAACTGTGTTAAAGTGATTTTAACCCAAATATGCATTATTAAAAAAAAATAGTGTACATTGGAATTAAAATTTTTGAATGATGTAAAAGGAAGCATCTCTTAATGATATAAAATAATTTTTCAGAAAACAGAGGTTGACAACACAGACTGGCTTTTAAGTATTTTTAAAACATTAAATGTTATTACTGTCAACTAAAGAAAATGCTTCTTATAATGAAAGAATACCAGTAGGTATTTTATCTTTTTTTTTTTCATTCTTTTACTTGCATGATTAAGAGCTAAAAAGTAGAAAAAAATGATTTCAAAGGAAAAGGTTAATGTAATACAATCCTCAGCATTTAACTTGGTTTGAAAGAGTCTGCTTAAGAAAGAAAAATACAGAGGTTAGGATACCCATGAGGGTACCTCTAAAAGTTCACAGACAAACAGAATTGAAAGATAATACAAATCTTTCCATGTTTTTAAAGTACCCTCATATAACTTACTGTTCAACTTTTCAAACAGGCTTAATTCCTTATCCTATATTAAACAAAACAAAAAACTTTAAAAATGATTTAAAATGAAAAATCCAATTATCTCCTAAGGAACACTGAAATTAGATTTTAAAAAGATATCTATTTTATAAAACTTATTATATTAAATAAACTGATCGCCCTTCATTTTAAAAGAATTTTTCTTCCCTTCTGTTCTTTTCACCATTTCCATGAAAAATCCTATTTGCTCAATGAGCTACAACTGGTAGTGTAGGTATTTATTTAACTTACAGGGTTTCCAGTCATTTTTTGAGACTTAACTTTTTGCTGTAAATACACATAAATGGTGGTATATGGTATGAGATGACATATACAAAAAATTACCAAAATAAAGTCAAAGAATTCTGAAAAAAAAAAATAAAAAAAGAACACATTACACATTAGATATGTTAAGGAAAGCATTGCCTGAACCTCTCCCTGTATTTTTCTTACCAGACATTGCTTGGGTTACAAACATTCCTCCTTGTTTATTCAGTAACGACACATCTAGAGTTCCTCCACCCAAGTCTATCACTAAGACATGGAAGACATCAGCCTTGTGGAGACCATAGGCCATAGCTGCTGCTGTGGGTTCATTTATGACTCTCAAGATCTTCAATCCTATAAGATTGGATGGAAGGAAGAACAAGTCATGAGAGCACACTACTAAGAAATTTCTTTCCCACTCAACCTCATAGTATGTTTGTGTCTTCTGTGACATGAATTCTGCTGAGTAATAATGACAGCAGCCACAAACCCAACAGAAATAACAAAATGGGAATGATAAATATAGGCTCTTATAAATGGCATCCTTAAAATTATTCTAAAAGAAGATTACAATATAAGCCCAGGTTTAATGGAATAAGTCACTCTATTAATACTTAATTTTCAAAAAATCTCTCAGCCTTTTTCTAATATTCATATTCTACTTGGAAATATATGAGCAATAAAACTTTAATCATTATATACCATAACTAACTGCTATGAAAATGAAATAATCTCATCTATGTTGTGCAGGCTAAACATCAGGTTTCATTGAACAAAATTCCTGGTTTAAACTAACTGCAACATTTAACAAGTGGTCTGAAAAGTAATATGGCATTATGTATCAAGAGCCATAAAAACATTCAGACTCTGAAGAATTTATCCAAAGATCATAATACCCTTCCCTTTAGCTCTCCGATTTCATCACTCACTCTGCTCTGGCACACTAGCCAAATTCCTATCTTCTTATGTGCCAGCAGCAAATTCCCATTTTCTGGCTGCTGCTCTAATCATTTCCTCCCTCTGCAACCCACTTCCTCCATATGTCTTCATGGCTAACTACTTCCCTTCCTTCAATCTGCTGAAATGTCACTTTCTCAATGGGGCCTACCTGATCACCCTTTTAAAACTTACAGACCCCACATTCCCTGATTGCCACCAACAATCCGTTCCCTTATCCTGCTCTTTTTGGTAACAGCATTTACTTCTCTTAAACATCTTATCATCGGTTCTCAACCAGGGATTTTACCACCAGGAGACATTTTTGATTGTTCCCATTTGGTGGGGGAGGGTGCTGCTAGTGTCTAGTTAGTAGAGGCTAGGGTTGCTGCTAAATATTCTATAATGCACAACTTTATTATTACTTATTTGTATACAGATTTTTGTAAATTTATTTATATATATTTATTAACACCGAATTATCTATCCAAAAATGTTAATAACACTGAGGCCAAGAAACCCCATATTAATCTTATCTTTTATGTTTATTTTGTTTCTCTCTAGTAGAATATAAGCTTCTTGAGAACAAGGATTTATCTGCTTTATTTACTGTGGCACTCAATATTTGTTGGTGTTAAATGAATTCTCTATCATCTCAGATTTTTTAAAAAAACATTATATTCACCTTAACATTAAAGAAAGTTTAGAAGATTCCTCACTAACATGTGTCCATGTTCTCTCAGCCTTTGTCACATGTTTGATTGGTTCTTGCTATAATATATACATTTTATATTGTGCTACAGAGCTTTAAAAATTATCGTTTACAAACCTTTATAAAAATCCATCTAATTTACCTCCATATAGTTTGTAGCTCAGGCAAGGGCAATGTTACCTGCAAGGTTAGCAGCTTCAATTGTTGCATTTCTCTGTTTTAGATCAAATTCTGCTGGTACGGAAATGACAGCATTGATAACTGGCATTCCAAGATATTCCTCTGCCATTTCCTTTAACCTCAACAACAGTCGAGAGCCAACATATTCGGGGGAAACAGTGACGGTCTCATTACTTGACACAGAAAATTCAGCCATTCCATTTTTGTTTAAAACCTGTGAATGCAATTTGTGGGGGGTGGAGGGGAAGTGTAAAAGTATGTATGTATATACATATAGACACACATACATACATTCTGAATGTATTAAATACCTACCTTTAACTTTACAAAATCATAAAATTCATTTGCAATCTATCCAGTATATTTACCAAGATTAGAGTTTATTAAATGTTATGCTTTAAAATCTACAAAATGAATCCAAACTATATTTTTCAATAACAGCAGAATAAAATTTATCACCAATCATTTAACTAGAACGTAGATGATTACTGATATATATATTGAATGAATGAAAGAATGACAAAATATAAGAAATAACAATGGCCCAATCATGTATCAAACTCAGGATCTATCTCTGCTTTTCCAATTAACTTGTTTCCATAAGTAACAAATATTTGAAAGACTTTTCTAGTTCATATTAACAAGAATAATTTTAGTACTTCATTATGATCTTACCTAAGACTCAAATATCACTTATCTTCGTTTCCATAAAAACACGTGCTATGTGTTAGCTCATTATCCCTGTTAATGTGGGTGTACCTTTGAAAAATTAGATTAACTCTAAAACATACTATCCTACTTTCACCAACAGATTGTATTAATATCAATAGTAGAGAATGAATCTGTTCTAAAAAATTAAAAGAATTTTTTCTAGTCATTCTTGACCCGATAATTAAGTTTCAATAAAGAAAACCTAACCTACCAAAAAATATCTCACTAGTTAGTCTAGTGAAAACAAAAACAAGTTACCCAGACACCATCAAAACAAGGTATAAATACACCAGTACCATATGAAACAGAAACAACAAAAAATCATATCACTTAGAAACTTAAGTACAACTTAAAATTACTGTTGGATCAATAAACAATGTACGCAAGCTGTAATTTAGATGATTTTAACTTTACATAAGGAAGATTATAAATCAATAAAGAATCCCAAGAAAAAAAGGTAACAAAGAACAAAGTAATAAACCTAAGAAATGCAAGGAGCAAATTTTTTGAAAATAATAAAAAACTTGAGAATTTTTATGGAAGGTATTACTTAATAAATAGCATTGATACAACTGTCTATTTTAAAACTAATTCATTTATAATCCCATTTCATAACTTTCAAGAAAAACCCTAAATGTAAAAAAGATTCAAATGTTTAAAAGGCAACAAAACAAAACAAAACAAAACAGCAAAATCCAAACTAACAAAATACTCCCAAAAAAGAATTAGGGGAAAAAAAAAAAAAAAAAAAAAAAAAAAAAAAAAAAAGAAAACAAGTGGACAAGTGGACTAAGATGGTCAGTTAAATAGTAAGAGTCCAAAACCATTTTTTAAAAATCATTGAGAAGTTTTTACCACATAAAAATTTAAAACTTTGACAGCTCAAAAACAAAATTATATAATCAGTTAAAAAAAAAAGGTAAAGAAAAAAAATAACAAAAACATACAACAATGGCATTTTATAGTTGTTAAGGAAAAGAAAAACACACCAAAAGAAAATAGGACAAGGGCCGGCCCGGTGGCGCACTGCGCTAGTGCGCCGCTTGGGAAGCGCGGTGGCGCTCCTGCCGAGGGTTCGGATCCCACATACAGACCGGTTCCCGCTCACTGGCTGAGCGAGGCGCGGGGGCAACACCGAGGGTTGCGATCCCGTTGCCGGTCCTGGTCCGGTACGGGGGCAACACTGAGGGTTGCGATCCGTTGCCGGACACGGAAAAATACAAAAAAAAAAAAAAAAAAAAAAAAAAAAAAGAAAATAGGACAAGAACAAGAAGTGGATCACTAAAGAAAACAAAAAAATACCAATAAACAAATTTCTAAAAAATCTGATCTCACTAGAAATAAAAAGAATAAAAATTAATACATGATACCATTTTTCACTCACCTCACTGGCAAAGATTAAAGAATAACAATCAGTGAAGATACAGGCTCTATCAAACATAATGGTTAAGAGAATATAACCTGCCTGGTGTGCAATTTGGAAACATAAATCAAAAGACTTAAAAACATGCACATTTGACCTATCAATTCTACTTTTAGAATTCAAACTAAGAAATTTTCAGAGACATGTACAAAGATATGTGCCCAGGGATACTTTCATTGAACCTCCAACATTACTGGAAAATCAGGAAAAAAAGAAAATGTACACTGACAGAGATCGGTCAGTTAAATGATGGAATAGTAGTTCCAGACAACCATTAATGATAATGATGTGAACCTACAGAGTGACTGTCCATGACATACTGTTGAGTGAGGGTTTCAAGTAAGTCATAAAACAGCATGCCTGGTTTGATATTTTTATCTTTTTGCATGACACACAGAATATCTATAGTACATGGGGTTTCATCAACATTCCTGCTACCCTGAAAGAGCGAAGCAGACATTCTGAGGATGGCAGCACAAGAATATGGTAAGGCCCTAAGTCCTTGATACCACTGTGGAGTCACTGAATTAACTCTCTCTGAAGCTGCTGTGGAATTTCTTCTTATCTGAGATAATGTAAATTCCATCTAGATTAAGTCAAGTGAGATAGAATGTTTTGCAATGTGAAGCCAAAGCATTAATTGAAACAGTATGCTAAACTAAAATTATTAGATTTTACATTAATCACTTACCTTAAATGGGTATCTGCCAATTTCAGCCTCCAGCTCTTCTGGAGTAAAAACCTTGCCTATGAACCTTTTGGCATCATATATTGTGTTTTGAGGATTTGAATCTGCCAGCTCTAAGCTTTCATATCCCACATACACATCATCATCTGTAAAGGACACCATACTGGGTATGCTGATATGCCCGTTTTCATCCGGAATCACCTTTACTTTTCCTGTGCCAGGAAAAAACACCCCAACGGAACAATAAGTGGTGCCAAGGTCAATTCCAAGCACTTTAGGAGTAGGCAAAGGTAAATACTGTTGTGCCAAATAGCCAGCCAACAGGAGAGTCAAAACAGCTGAACCTGAAATGTAGGCAAATTAAAAGATATATCTTATCGAACTAGTACAATAGGCTAAATTACTAAAAATACAAATCTTAAAATATTCTTTTACAGGACTAATAACATTTCTCTCAGACATCAAGTTTTTCATAATGTAAACTGGCTATAACACAATTAAAAATAATGACCAAAACAAAACAAAAAAACACAAACCTCTTTAACTGTATGTTTGTGTGGTTCACTAACGGGTGAATAAAGAAATAAAACGTAAAAATGTTTGCTGATGCTAACAGGAAACACCATTCATCTGGAACAAAAGCTAGGTAGAATTAAATTTTCTTAATTATATATTTAGATTTTATAGCTTTACGAATAGCTTTAGTTATTAAAAAGAAACTACATTATTAAAATTCTCATAGCAAAAACTTTGTTATTGTAAGGCTACAACTCTTTATCCTCATATCTACTCCTTTTCTCTTACACAAGGATGAAATGGATAAATTGGATAAAGTAATTTTGAAAGCTGCTCAAGTATGAAACTGTCATTTCATAAGAGAACGCAGTTAAATTTTTACGTATTTAAATATGAATTAAGGACATACTTCTTGTAGAGGTAATATAAGAGAGGAGAAGCATATAAGTGGGCCACTCTGATGGCTACACATATGCAAGCTACTTGAAGGCAGATTTTATTCAAGGTTGTATTCTCCATTCCAGAAACAAAAGATGTTCAACAAATACTAAAGAACCCCCCCCCCCCCAAACCCAAATGCGAACAAATGCCATGCAGTTTGTAAATATTAAATGAAGAAAGATGCCATTTTAAATTTAGAATTCATCTCTTAGTTTCAGGAGGCTGTGTCATTCACCTGCGTCCACTCATGCTATATATCATCCAAAATGTCAATCTGTAGGACCCCGTGTTGCTAATGGTTAGCTCATTCTCATCAACACATAAATCAAAGGAAGGAAACCAAGTGCCAACCCCACTTTCCTCTTCCAACTAATGACAACATTTCAGGACTTTCATCACCTTCTCGGAGAAGGATAATGTCCAGCCCGATTTGATGGAAAGGGCCATCAAAGGGGCCTGAATCCCTGCAAATTCAGCATCCCATGAGCCTACAGCTCGAGATGCTGCTGTTCCACCTCCTCCATCCTCCACAACGGGGTCCTGAAGTTGCACGTTCTTGCAGTCTCCCAAAGGCACCAATTCAACCAACAATTCAAAACCGATGTTCTGCTGGAAAGACCACTCTCCTAAGCCCGATATCCCGGGGATGTACGCAGCTAGCTGCCGCCGGCCCTCCCTGGGCCTACACGGGCCTGGCCCTCTTGGAGGCGCCCCACCCCCACCAGCTACAAACAGCCAAAAAAACCTCTTAGTCACCTTTCCGGCTCCTCTCCTGTTGCGCCGGCTGAATCCAGGAGGAGAGACAACCATACCCGCCCACCCCGGCCCCCCAAGACAGCCTCGAAGCCCGTAACAGCAACAGGGAACCCCGAGCACTGACCTAAGATCGTCATCTCTCCGGCCATCACAGTCCCGCCGAAGAGACTAGGGATGACTGTACCAGACGTGAGGTGCCGCCCCCGAGCCGCCAGGCAGTCCCGCAGCCCCCTGGGAAATGTAGTCCGCTCGCTTTGACGCAGCCGGAAAGGCTACCGTTCCAACCAGAGCAGGGACTTCATCTACCTTGAGGCCGCAGGGCGTAGAGCCTCCATTCAACCCCTGCCAATGACGACTGAGCCGTCCTGCCACTCAGGGGCCGCTGAGCCAATAGGGCTGAGGTGGAGGAGAGTCACGGAGTAGGATTGGAGTTTCTGATCACACCTGAAGCGCTTGAAGTAAAATCCAGCTTGAGGTTAAAAAAAATAATTAAAAAAATAAATAAATAAATAATGGCTCTTTAGCCCCGCCCCACCGCTTTGCATCCTGGGAAGTGTAGTAGTGGAGTTCCGGCCTATTTGCGGGAGGGAGTATCGGAGAGGGAGAAAAACCTTTAGTCGCGCCGCTAATCATACCCAGGATTCAGTCCTTTGTTCCTTCGTTATTTTTCCATTTAAAGCGTTTTCCTGGGGTGTAAATTCTAGATGAAGTTCTTCTAAAACCACCCGTCCCCCGCCAGCCTCGCTGGAAGAGCCCCTGCAGCAGTGCGGACGCAGGGAAAGGCCTGGTCGGGCGGCCCTACTTATCGCTCTGGAAACAGCCCTGGAACTCCAGTATGACTCTCAGCCCTCTGGTTTTTGGGATCAGTGAACTCAAGGAATCTTCAGTCGTTGCTATTTATACAAGAGAGCAAGGACACATTTTCTCTATGGCTAACATTGAAGTGGGCCATTAGAAACAAAAACCAAGTTAAAAACAACAACAAAACCCCCCTAGCTTTCTCTTGAATTGAACTGTAAGTGGCTAAAATTACCTTTATGGACAGGTCCAATAACGTGTAATAGCCGTTTAGGACACTTGTAAAATGTTTTTTCAGGTTCTAGTCTGTAATAGACCCGGTTTTCCTCATTTCTTAGTGACTGGTAGTACTTAATGGCTCCTTTTGAGAGTGGTTTTGTCTTTATTGCTGTTAAAGTTGATGAGAACTAGGGTCCTGGAGAACTGAATCTATTTCCTCACCTTAGATATTAATCAGACGTTCGCTGTTGACAACAGGTCAGCCTATTGTGGAAGTATATCGCTACTGCCTCATTTAAAAACTATAAATGTAAATGTCGATGATTATCGAATCTGAATTATGGCTAATGAGGATTTACCATAATATTCTTTACTTTTGTGTATTTTGGAAGTCTTTTGCAATGTGAAGTACAAAAAGTGTGTGTCTATACTGAATACTACTTAGTAAAATTCTTATGAAGGATGCATAATTCAAACACCCAATTCATGAGTAGTATTAGGTGTAATGGGCAGTGGGCCGGAGGTGTTCCAGGCAGAAGGAACTGAATTACCAAGAGCACAGAAGCAGAAGATCATCCCATAGATTGGAAACTGCTGGATCATAAAGCGTGATGTAGAAGTCTGAGAAATAGGATTTATACCAGATCAGGAGGATTAATCATTTGTGGCAGGCATTGGTCATTGTCATTCTCCCTGCTACCGCTCCCCCCCCCCCCCCCCCCCCCCCCCCCCCCCCCCCCCCCCCCCCCCCCCCCCCCCCCCCCCCCCCCCCCCCCCCCCCCCCCCCCCCCCCCCCCCCCCCCCCCCCCCCCCCCCCCCCCCCCCCCCCCCCCCCCCGCCCCTTTCTAATAGGATTCTGATTTGTTCAAGAAGTAGGTAGAGACTAGGTGATCTCAGAGTGAAAGGCCTCTACCCTAGGGGAAAAATTAAGATTGAGCTAAATAGATTGTACTTGTTTTCTATTTCTACTTTAACAAATTACCGACAATTTAGTGTCTTAAACCAATACAAATCTATTAATTTACAGTTCAGCATATCAGAAATCTGGTACAGGTCTCATTGGACTAAAATCAAGTTATCAGCAGAACTTCATTCCTTTCTGGAGGTTCTAGGGGTGAATCCATTTCCTGTTTATTTCAGTTGTTGGCAGAATTAATTTTTTTTTTACAATTGTGGGTTTGAAGTCCTCATTTTCTTGCTAGCTGTGAACTGAGGGCTTAGAAAGAGAAAGATTTATTATTCAATAAATCCAATCAGATAATTGGTTTTTTATAAAGTTAAAAGTAAAAAGGGTTGTCACTCCTTAACACCAAAATAAATCCAGATGTATGAAGATTTACTTTTTTCAAAAAAAAGATGTACTTTTTTAAAAAGTACAGGTAGTTTTATTAATTAACTTGGGTTTGGGAGAGGCAGTTAAAATTAAGACTTAAAACTGAGGAACAAAGCAAAACTAAACTAAAACAGATAAGTTTGAGTATATAGAATTTAAAATTATCTAGAGGGCAGAATTAATTATCTAAGTTAATATATATGAAGTCAAAAGACAAAACAACAGAAGAAATATTAAATATACATGATGTACAGGGATTAACTTCCTTACTTTACAGAGATCTACTTGAAAGTGTGAATATTTACAACCCAACTGAAAAATCAGAAAGAATGTGAATAGGCAATTAATAGAAATTAAAAATCGCAAATAAACATGAAAAGAAATTCTACCTTAATCACATTTAAATAAATCTAAACAGAAAGAGTCATATTTACTTATCTGTTATGGGTTGAGTTGTGCCCCCACCCCACCCCCCCAAAAATGTTGTCCTAACCTCTGGTACCTCGGAATGTGACCTTATTTGGAAATAGAGTTGTTGCACATGTAATTAGATTATATGAGGTCACACTGAAATAGAGTGGTCTCTTAATCCAATATTCCTGGTGTCCTTATAAGAAAATGGCCCTATAGAAACACAGAAACACACGGAGAATGCCACATGATGATAAAGGCAGAGACTGGAGTTATGCACTGGCAAGCCAGACAGTGTCAAACATTGCCAACAAACTAGCAGAAGCTAGGAAGAGACAAGGAAGGACTCTTCTTTAGGTGTCAGAGAGACCATGGCCCAGCTGACATCTTGTTTTGAACTTCCAGTCTCCATAATTAGAAAAAAATTATGTTTTTTTAAAGCCATCCAGTTCATGGTACCTTGTTATGGCAGCTCAAGGGAACTATACACTATCCAACTGCAAAGATATTTAAATAATGATGACCAGTGCTGATGAATGTGTTTGCAACTGCTCACTCTAGGTCTGTTTGTGGAATACCTTCTGAAAAGGTAATATTGGTTAAAATGCAGAGTGAGTAGACTTCTGTTTACAACCATGATTAGAGTGCATGGAATTACCCTTTTTTCACAAAGGGATGGAGAACAGGACAAAAATAGGTGAAATGATAGTTTCAGAACTTGGAAGAGAGGAAGGGAAGGACTGTGATCACCGAGAGAAGAGAAAGAAATGAGGTAAGCTCTATAGTAAATGTGGATTTCTATTCAGAGACACATTCAAGACCTCAGTGTAGAGAAGGAAATCCCAAGTAGAGTACAAAGGCCTTGCTGTTAGGAGGCAGATCATAAGAGTTCAAGGAATCTGTGGAAGCCGAAGTTCCAGGAATGGACTCTGCAGAGGTGAGAGCTATGCAGAACACCAGAAACTCTGGAATATCTGAATATTTTAACCTCATGTTATACACTAAAATTAACTTGAAATCAATCATTTACCTAAATATAAAACTAAAACTATCATTTTTTTAATTGAAACATAAGTGGTTATACATATTTGTGGGATACAGAGTTGACTGTCGTTATTTGTGTATAATATGTGATGATCAAATTAAGATTATTATTACATTCATCAACATAAAACATAAATAGTCTTTGTGTCCATTACTCAATTTCTCTTTAACCCCCTCCCCCTCCCTCTTTCCCACCTCTAGTAACCATAGTTCTGTTCTCTTCTTCTGAAGGTTCAACATTTTATTGTGGTTGTTGTTCCTTCCTTCCTTCCTCCATCCCTCCCTCCCTCCCTTCCTTCTTTCCTTCCTCTCACTTATGAGTGAGGACATGAGGTATTTCTCTTTCCATGCCTGTCTTATTTCACTAACATAATTTTCTCCAAGCTCATCGATGTTGCTGCAAATGGTAAATTTCTTTTTTTTTTTTTATGACAGAGAAGTACTCTATTTTGTGTATATACCGCGTTTTACTTATCCAGTTGTCCACTGATGGGCATTTAGGTTGGTTCCACATCTTGGCTATTGTAAATAGAGCTGCAGTAAACATGGGAGTGCTGGTATCCTTTCAACATGAGGATTTCCATTCCTTTGGGTACATACCCAGTAGTGGGATTGCTGGATTGTATGGTAGTTCCATCTGCAATTGTTTGAGAAACCTCCATACTGTTTTCCATAATAGCTGTACTAATTTACAGTACCACCAACAATGTAGAAGGGCTCCCTTTTCTCTGCACCTTTGTCAGCGTTTGTTATTCTGTCTTTTTGATAATAACCAGTCTAACTGGGGTGAGATGATATCTCATTGTGGTTTTGATTTAATTTTCCCTGATGATTAGCAATGTTAAGCAGTTTTTCATGTACCTGTTGGCCATTTATATGTCTTCCTTTGAGAAATGTCTATCTAGCTCCTCTGCCCATTTTAATCATATTTTTTTTAGTTACTTGTATATTCTGGATATTAATCTCTTGTTCAATGTATAGTTTGCAAATATTTTCTCCCATTCTGTAGGTATCTTTTCACTCTGTTGATTGTTTCCTTTGCTGTTCAGAAGCTTTTTAGTTCATACAATCCCATTTGTTTATGTTGGGAAAATAGAAAAGTTTGGTCAGGGCCCTCACCTCAGGTCCAGTTGGGTGTGGTTTTAGCACATCCTTTGTATGCAAGTTGTGCATGTGTGTGGAGTTAGTGTGCATGCGCACACTAATGTATCATTTTACTTTTGTTGCTACTCTTGTGTTCTTCAGAGATAGAGAGAGAGAGAGAAGAGTTTGAGTGAAGCAGGCAAGTGGGCGTCTGCCTCAGACGTCTGCCCAGTGCAGCCATGCTTTCCAATCTATGGCTCCAAGGACCTTTTGGCCAGTTACCTAGCTCAT